ACCTGGTCTATGCCGGACCTCAAGTTTTGGAGCTTCCCTCGTCAAAACAACTCCGCCAGCATATGCACGATGTGGCAACTACCTACCAAGAGTCACAACTGCAGGATCTGCCCGGGGACTCCAAAGTTTCGATTGCCTTGTGCTGTTGGAAGAGTCCACTCGGATGGGACTTCATGGCTATTACTGCGTATTACTTTGATAAAGAGTGGAGCTACCGAGAGGTGCTGCTTGGATTCGAGCTACTTTGCAGGCCCGAGACAGGGACTGACCCGGGTGATCAAATACTTGCACTGATCGGGAACAAAGGGCTGCTTGGTCGGATATTCAGCGTGACAATTGACTATAGGGTCGACGAGAATCTGGTGCTGTCATTACAAGAGAAGTTGATTTCCTCTGGTGGTATCAGCCGTCTGCAGTGCTTTGTTGGGCTTCCTGGCATAGTGCAGGCCATCCAGCTCTGTCTTCGGCGGTATATCGAAAACATCACAAGCTCCCCAGAAAGGGAAAGGGTTGAGAATGTGCGAGCAATATCACACGCCAATGGTTGGACTGAACCTTCAGATGGCGAAGAATAATGTGTTTTTTGGAAAAGGTGAATGTCCTCCGTCCTCCTGACGAGAAACAGCTCTGACCCTTGTGTCTTGCAGATTCGATCGTTTGCAAAGTTTGTCAACGAGACCCCCGGGAAGCGCGATGAATTCTTGTGTCTTCAGCCCCCCGGGATTCGACTCTTGCCGTTGGACGATGCAAACGCCCGCTGGAATTCGGTGTTTTTGATGTTGAAGCGAGCCAGCAGATTGCGAAGATTTATCGACCAGTACTGCCAGGAAAGCGGGAATTTACGGTACAAATTGACGAATACGGACTGGCGCAAGGTTGACTACGTCCTGCAGCTGACAATGCCATTCATCCAGTTCACTACAGCCCTCCTGGCCTCGAAAGAGGCGACAGTCCACAAAGTCTGTTTCGTGTTCAAGATACTAGTGACGCATATCGACCAGTCAGCTGAAATATTGAGAAGAAAATCAGCTCCATGGAAGCGAACACTACTTGAGGCGTCGCTTGTCATGAAGATGGAACTTGGAGAAGTCTACGAAAAGACATTTCAAGACTTTGGGGTCATGTATGGCACTGGAACTTTTGTTGCGCCCCAATATAAAGTGTCCGCATTCGATGGCGCCTCGTCATGGCAAGGCTTGGGCCATCCCGAGCGCTACATCGAATATCTGAGGATCTTTCACCTACAGTATCGGCCGCAAATGCCCACGAGCTTGTCTTGTATGAATGGACTGTCTTGCTCTCCGCAGTTGTTGGGGCTCGACCGGCTTCTGCATCCACTAGCTGGTCTGGCGGGTAGTTCAAGGAGTGGGCAAGATGAAGTTGATCAATATCTTCGCGAAGGTCTGAACAACTGCTCACTGTATTTTCTGCTGACTACTGACACATAACAGGGGTTGTCAATACCTCGCCATGTGCTTACTGGAAAGACCGTCAACACGAGTGGCCTGTTCTCACTCGACTGGCTCGAGATCTACTCTCCATTCCGGCTACAGGTGCTGGCACAGAGCGACTTTTCACAGTTGCACAAAAAATCTGCTATGCGCATGGGGAATATTTAGATGAGTCGGCCATGCAAGACCTAGTGATGTATGCGTACTCGGAGGAATCTGAAAGAGGGAAGCAATTGATCAGCCGGCTAGAACGTAACAAGACAAGTAACGAAGAATGGGAGGAGTTCGAAACAGAGGCAGAAAGGCCTGAACCGATCAGCGGTGATGAGTGGAGCCCAGCTGAAGCGAGTATGGACGAGCGCCCAGAGGACGACGAAAACAGCGAGGCAGACACAGTGATTCTGGAAAGCGCACCTACGGATGACCTGGGCCAGGATATGGCGGATGAAGGCGATGATGACTCATTCCTGCCCCCGCCTGTCACGCGGCTCATCAATAGCGTTCGAAGAAGATTCTCAGGCAGAATGACAGTGATCTAGCAGGGTGTCTCATCATTCTTCTCCGGTGTTTGTTTGTTGGAATTCACCCTGCCTATCCTGCAAGAATGATACTCGCATTACAACTTCATTGTCGCTGATTTATAATAAGCCGCGCCCATGGAAAGGAGAAAACGTCATATCAACAGATCCTGTGGAAAGCGCGTATGCAAGACAGTCAACGTTACAATTGTCACTTTTAGCACTGCCAGTCTTGTTGCGTTTTCTGAAAGAGATGTGGTGGCGATTAGCTGACGCTTCTCTCCATCATGGGCTCATCAAAATACGTAGCAGTACCTTAATGCAAAAACGAGCAAGTGTTACAACTTTGAAAGCAGAATACATAATATCATGAGCTCTCAATTACATCTTACTTCTGACACGCGACAAAACGCGGCTATCTCAAACAGATCAGTGGACGCGTTTATATTATATTGTCAGTGCTAAAATACAGTGAAAGTGACAAATCAGTTTAAGGATAATCAGCGTTCCTTATTAATCTCCAAATAAATGATATAAGTGCCATTATATGTCTTGCTGCTGCGGTCGAATGTAGTCAGACTGTCGTCCGTTCAAAGTATGGAGCTTTTGGTCATCAAAATGATCGTTGGCTGGACGAATTCTGGCTATCCATTCCAGGCTTTAGCTGAGCATCAATATTAGTACAGTACAGATGGATTAAGAGAGCAAGATAACCTGTTGAGGCCGCCAACAATCAAGCTGATGGAACTACCGGTAAAACGTGTTGACCATTGCTTGTGCAAGTATAAAGACACTAGATGGGAGAATGGTAAGAGTTTCCAGAGTTGCCTAATCCATGTACGTCTCTGCCACTCCTACGTCATTCCTCCGTTTAATGGTGCGGCGGTTCTGTCAGCAGCAAGCCTCTTGCTTTAATATCCTGTTGTTATTATCTTTGCTGGCAAATTAGCATCGTGGTAAGATTTTACAGCAACCCAAGTATGGCATTACGAGATGAGGTTGTTAGCGTACGCGAGGCCCAGTGATCCTCTATCGTCTGCACTCGGGCAAGATTGTACAAGAAACGAATAGTGCATTATTACCATCCCAACGTTCAAACAAGCTGGGATGAATCTTACTTTCTATTTCGATATTAACAGAGGTTTTGACTAGTACAGGAACATGGGTTATAGGTGGCTGCCGCTGACAAACATTTGTCTTGGGGACGTAACTCTGTGTAAGAAAAAGGGATAAGAATGCATAGACTCCTTTAGTAACGAAGAATCACAGCCTTCAGAAACACAACAGGCAGACTATGGACGAAACCTAAGTTGGGAAGGTGCTGGAAGATTCCCCCGTAGACACGACACTCAGAGAAGCCCAAGCTTTTGCAAAATCCAGGCCCGTTTGGCACCTTTCATGGTTGCCCCATTCTTTTTGAGATATGCTTTGGTAAATGGGAGGCCTTTGCAATCAGGACGCCCGGCGTGTTCCAGCCACGACAATGGTGTCCCGTACATATCGTCGAGAGCATTGACTTGGGCTCCATTTTCCACCAGAATTCTCGTTGCGTTGTAAGAGCCATACTCAGCAGCCCAGGAAAGAGGGGTACGTTTGTTTTGATCGCGATCGTCAATTGGCGCACCAATATCCAGAAGTCGTAAAAGAAGCTCAGTACAGTCCCCCATAGCGGCGTAATGAATCAGAGACCTCTTGAAAGGGCCCCTTGGGTTGCATATGCCCCGGGATTGGACCGACTTCTGAGTTGCTTCGAGGAAAGCCATGATGTTCTCGTCCAGCGCATTCATCTGGATATTTTTGAGGCGCTTGAATTCACCATCCATGGTTGTGGTGGATTGAGAGGACATGGTCTTTAGACACTTCGAAAAAGCCAAAGGTCAGGGTCGCGAGAGCCCGTGACCAAGCTGGGGGATCATAGGCTATATAGTAATGGTGGGAGAAGATGTCCCATGTCTCCCAAAGTATAAAATATGAATATGCTTTCTGCTATCCATGTGCTTTTCGGCGGGTTCTATTTCATTTTAATGATGCAGGATGCTACTTGGAAGCACAGGAGTAAAGTTCAAGGGCATTCTGTTGTATCAGTATGTGTTTCATGGCCTCGACAAAGTGCGGCTGCCGGCCGCAACATACAGTATGCAGCGGACTGTTGGGTTGAAGAGACGAAAAGGCTAACAAAAAGCCAGAGGCAACTCACCCGCACCGTGTTGTAGTGCCTCAGAAACATGAATTGGATCGTTCAACACAGCGTGTTGTGGGGACCAAGGCTGGGCCGACTTCCGGAACAAGACCGCCGACCACACACGCGGCCTGATACGCCTCGTAATTGGATACATGGGTCCTCGGTTATGAATAGCATAGCTCTATCAGAATGGACAAAGACCAAGGTCGAAATCTATGGTTGTGCATTTCGCGCCCCGCGTTATCGTAGACGCGGCACATCACTTCGATAATGGCGTGCTACGCCACAAGTGTCCAAGTGCATATCCAGTCCTCACTTCTTCAGCCACGACGACACGCCATAAAGCTGTAACAAGCCATTTTCCTTCGGCCGGGTTGTGAGGTGTAATCTGGTGAGATGTTGAAAGGAAGTACCTCAGAACTCCGGAGCTCATCAGTTCTGAAAAGGTCGCCCGCATGTTCTAGCCCTAGATACGTCGAGGGTTATTGGGCAAGCATCAAGTTGTCTTAGCTGGCCTAAACTGATCTAACCGATTCCTGACCGCATAGTGAGCCTCAATAACCGACCATACTTGCCAAAGTGTTAATCTCCCATGCACCTCAACTTTGGTCAGCCGACTGACATTTTTAATTCAATATGTGCCCCCTACAGGCTATCTGAAGGCTCTCAGAAATCTCGGTAATTCTATAAAAGCCTCTGTCGTCCTTCCTCGTTTTGCTCGACTACACACAACGCCAAATCAATCGGTTAAGAAATACAGGACACAAGAGACGCAACACACAATATATTTTCGAATTTTAAGCTCCTATAATTCCTCAGAAGACAAGGAAAATGCGTTTCTCCATCATCATGATTCTCGCTAGTGCCTATGCAAGCGGATCTCTCGGTGGCACCCTTGAGATCATTGATATTGATGGTCAATGCGCGATATGGTCCTATGACAACCATGGCTGCACGGGATCTTCGGAATTCTTTAGCAAACTTGACGGAGATGACTGTGCAAGTAAGCAAATGCCGGGGATGGAAATCAGAAAAAGGTACTAACAAAGTTGTAGATTTGCGCGTCAAGACCGGCACCCCTCAAGGTTACCCTGTGAGTGGTGTGGGGGCTTGTGGCACGAAAAAAATTCGTCAGTTGCATGGATTGAGGTGGAACATACTGGCCTGGTCAGCTTCTTCAATTACCAAGGCGACAAGTCGGCATGTACATTGGACAACGGACTCAAGCATGGCAGCCGATGTATCGCTACTGACACGATATCCTCCACCAAGGCGTCCTCCGCTTTGACGACACCGAGATCTTCGTCATCAGTGTCGGAGTCATCCTTGACTACCTCCCAGACCGCACCTTCTTCCGATTGTTCCGCGGATTGAGGAAATATGAAGAACAAGTGCAACTCTCGGGATGTACCAAACATACCCTTCACTACTTTGCAGGTGCATGGAATTTTTGGCTTCCTGTTACTTATGTTTTCCAGTGTCTGGTGTAATTTCCTTTCTGAACATTATATGTACTGAGGGTAAATTAGACGGAGATGTGGACAGCAATGCATTGAGTTAAACTGGATGGGTGTTCTGATAGATTTATGCTGATTCATAGGTTGTGATTCGATTCTGCATTTTGTTCTTTAGGTTCAGTTGGGAGAGTAGTAATAGCTTGTACTGTAGCTATGCTTTGCTTTCCAATTTGGGCGCTTCTCTTGAAGACTTCCATCGATATGATAGTATTCGAGACGTTGTCCCAATCTGAGGAAAAGTAAATAAGGAAACTACTATATTCGGAAGACTGGGCCATGGTGATTGAATAGGCCCTTTGATGCTGCGAGGTTACTTTGTGCGTTTTATTGTCGTCCCAGGGATTGAACATACATATAATATGACACTTCTTGAGTTTTCCGACGGTCTTCGAGCTCGACGACAAACAGCTCGCCGATCACGGGAGCACGGGTAATGCAAATACCAATAGCAGGCTCAAGATGTATCTTGTTACCTTGAGAATCTGCCAGAATCAGTTCGGAATTCGCATGGTTTGCTTGGAGCGACTGCCTGCTTGTCCTAGCGCATTGTTTAGTCTTTCAATTTTCTTTCTTATCACTTGGATCGAGGAATCACATACAACAGATCGCCCTGTTGGGAGTAAGAAGCTATGTCGATGGAGAAACCGTGCTTGAGACTTGCAAGTTGGGGTTGGGTTGTATGCAACTCCCTGCAGTGGTATTCGACCTCTAGCACACGCACGTAAAGTGGGTTTACGAGTGCAGCCTTGCTACTAAAATCGACGGGCGTGGCGTATGTTCTTGCTACGGTGTTTTTCCGGAAGCCAACATACCCCGGACGACCGCTACGGAACGTGCTATCACTCGTGGATTGCCGATTCCGCAGTGCAAATATTTTTATCGGTAGGGACTCTCGCAGGGCGGTCTTTGGGCCGAATGGTCGGTTTTGGGGCCCTAACAAGGAGTCATCAGCAAGCTGGTAACTATCTCTCTGTTCTGGACCGTACTCAAGATCCCTTGGGAGTTGTTAGATTGAGATTTCCCAATTGCGAATAATCGGTCGACTATTGTGAAACAATTTGTTGTATAAAGCTCCCCGCTAACTTTGTCGAGTATTCTCGCAAGGTCCTGGTGGTCGTAGTTTCTCATAATGCATGCTAGGACTTCGGATTTCTCTGGACATACATTAGCATTAGTGTTAAAAAGAGTGCATGACGTAAGACTGACCGGATTCTTGCATACCTGGGGCACCTTTGAAGCCCCATTCATCAGTAGTGGGCCACCACTTAGGTTCTTCTTTCAGTCTCGATTTCACAGTGGCCAAAGCCCCGTCATTAATAAAATCCCAATCAACGGCGGTTGGCCACCAATGTGGTTTGTTTCCCAATCTCAGTTTTGCAGTCGCCAGAAAGTGGTTGTAGAGCACTTCCCTATCGTTAGGGCAGAGTGCTTGGAACTCTCCATAATATTGATCGGCGTAAGTTGGAACCGAAAAGTCGACCTTTGCGTCCATTGTGTTATTCATGGATGGGTAAAGTTTGAACGTCCAAATAGTAGGAGGGCAAGGGATTGTTTTAAACACAAGAGCAACAGATCAATCGTAGGGAAAAGTCACTACCCTGACCTAGCTGCCGAGCTAGCTTGGAGGGCATGAAAGCTGGACCATTCCTATTTGGAGAGCCGCTAGGGGCCTGAATCCCTGTTTAGGTTTCGCAGGCATAAGCAACCTATAATCAAATTGAAGGCTTCCGACTGCAATGCGGTGAATCCAATTTTTTCTTGGTTTGGTTTATCGCACTTGGCTGCTAGTAATGGAGTCGTTTACCTCATTGAGAATTTTCCCCCTGCATCCTTCAACTCCTTCCTTACGAAGACTCCGTGTCCATGTATCACGGAGCCGATAATTCCATGAATTTTGATCTCAAATGCCTACTGTCAAGGCTGACTACGTTGTTTGAATCGCACCCACATGGCGCCTTGTTCACATTCCTCGTAATTATATTGAAGACTAACGCCTGGCGGGGCCCCTCACAAAAAGCGTGGCAGCTCCTAGGATCAGATCGGCCGATTCCAACATAAATTACATTAACTGTGTCGTAAATGGAACAGGAGTGGCAGCTTCAGAACTAGATTGCAAGCAGGTCTCGCCAACCCATGGGTGTTGGAAGCCTTGGAAGGGCGGCGCCATCCTGGCCGATAGGCTGTAGCCCTCCTGAGCCAGGAAGTGTCGGTGTTCTGTGTGTACGTCTAGCCCGAAACCTCGAAATTGTCTTAACCAATACACGTCCGGCAATTGTTTACTAGCCCCACCGCCAAGGCCTTAGCGCGACTCACTCGCGTCACATCCAATGGAATAGCTCTTACGGGGCCAAAGAACAACATCAAGCGTGTATTGGTCAAGGCAACTACAAGATTGCGGGCTAGACGCCGTAATATAAGTAGCACGTACGCTCCTTTGTATATCCTAGCAAAATTTCCTGCATATCATCTATCAACTGAAAGAACTGATGTTCATATCGGCTTGGCGCATGCAAACATCCCTCAAAAGCTACACCGCATGCTCTCTGCAAGCCGGCCACAATTGCCCCACCGCATCCAGACATGAAGCCAAAGGCATGGGTATACAGATTCCCAATACCCCAAAGATATCGTAACGTCATCGGGTCTATCTTTGAGTTGGTTATGACGGAGAGCGAGTATTACGAGCTAGCCGACCCCTTGTTGAGTGGACTCACCGCCACGGAAATCTCTTTGATAGCGCACCTGCTCGGAGTCACAGAACAATTCCTCTACGCCAGCAGATATCTGAATCCGCTCAGGGAGCAGGACCCTTTCATGGTCTACTTTGAGCCACTGATCAAGAAGGGACTGCAAGTCTTAATTCTTGGTAGCGATATTCTGGATTTAATGGAGAGAATCCAGCGTCCGGCGACGTACTGGGGCAGTCGAATTGCGGAGGTAGAGACCAATGGCGGACTCATACATACGCCTGAAATTTGGATCGTGGCAATACGCCCCAACCAGCCCACGTACGAAGCGCCAACAGAGCTCGCGGCATCTGAAGAGCCATTTGACGCCTTAGTCCAGCCTGTGGAGAGCAAATACATGTACAGAGACCCCGATACGAGCATGCCGGTGATGTGGTTAAAGGGTACGGGCGTATACTTGAGACATCGACATCCTCAAATGGAGACTCAACGGTCGAAATACATGTGTACCGTGGAATCTTCCTCTTTTGCGATCGACTGGGATGATCTTTACCAAGACATACGGCCCGGCTCTACCCTACCCTACATCGACGCTTCAGGAGAACCCCACACGATCAAATTTTCAGAGCATGATACGGCGATGGAATACAAGTCGGATACCCATAATGAAGATCGCTCGGTTGTTTTGTGGAAGAGAATGTACGGTCCAGAGGCGAACGCGGTATTCAATGGCAGGGTGCTAGACAGAAATGGGAGGAATATTTTGGGAGAGGTTGAGTTTGCTTTCAAGTTCCCTTTTCAGAGTAACATATAACTGGGGATGACATTGTAAGTTACAATCGAAAGTCAGGCATCGAATCCACTAAAGCCGAACTGCTTAAGTCAGTTCCTATGAATATGGTATTCAAGGTTGGAGGGTATCGTCATCATCAAAAAAGAGTGGTTATCATCCTCTCAAGGCAGAAGGTGGCACTGAGGAGCCTAATTGTGGAAAGAGTAGGATGGGAAGCATGTATTTATGAATTTCTTCACCCACGACGTCACGTCCGGGTCAAATGTTCTTCCACGAGGTGCACTAATATGGTATATGCAGCGACCAATCCAACCCCAGAATACCTGATGCAAGTTTTCAAAAAGGCAGCAGACCCTGGGAGCTCAGGGTGATTCCAGGAGCTGGGTTACTCCCAAGACATCGGACACATTTTCCGGGGCTGAGGACATCGAGGTTCAATATACCGTGATTCGGTGAGGACAACTCAACTAATGCAAGAATAACATGAGGGGAAGCATCTCTTATGAAACGTAAGAAAGAGGGTGCGTTATAACAATAGGCTCGTGCGGCATTCAGCCAGCCACGTTTTCACCTCCGCTTCATGGGCGAAGCGGTGCCGGTTATGAATAGCTTCATGGAAGAGAAGATAGTAACTCTCTATGACCAATTTTCCCTATGGCTAAATCAATCATGTCAGCTGGTATGAGGATGGCACTGGCTCCGTCATGTCCCAGAAATCCACTGTCACATCGCAGTTCTTGTAAACTGCATAACATTCCGTTCCCCCTCCAATTGCGGTGGGCAACCTAACCCAGTATGTGCCGTCGTAAGAGCCAAGATTGAAGTTATACGTCAAGTCGTGGTACCGAGAGTTGCTATATATAGACAATATTAGCAATGGAAGGTTCATTGTCACCTGGATAGCAGATGATGTCTTACCCATTGACTGCGGTTGACGATTGAAATTTGGCATACATAGTACCACCATGGAATCCGTCGGCATAGTAGGTGGAGCCTACATTGGTTGGTAGTTTATGTGTCTGGCGATGGTGATTTGAGCCGCAATTTGGAGAATTGATAACTGTGCATTGAACCGCTGCGTCACAGTGCATAGTCAGCCTCAACATGACGAAGGCTGCTAACAGAGCCCGTTTCGGACGGACACCTAGTGGGAAATAGGAGATGGTACGCATTGTGGAGGACAACTATAACAGCTGAATGAAGGCAAGAAGCCTACTAACTTATGTTCGAAGGAGGATATAATGTGCTTCCACTTTTTTATCCGTAGTGTGTTGCGGCTTTTATAAGAATTTAAGTCTCCAGAATCTGCTTTAAGCTGCGCCACGAGACAAGATAGAAACAGTGTGAGAGGCTGGGAGTCTACTGGACAATACTGAAACAGTAGCAACATTCATTATCTCGAGCAGATCCGCCTACGCTAGTGGGCCGCGTTTCCCACATCAATAATTAACTAAGCCAAGATCAGTTAGTGAGTGCTGCCTCCTACAAGGCTATCAGCTGACTCTGTAATTCTGGGAAAGGTGTCTCCTAACGGCGTCTGGGCGCATTTTCAGCGATAATATTCTTCGCGATGCGGAATACCTACTCGATAGTAGAAGCCCCTAGAGAGGCAGGTTCTCTTTTTCGGGCACGTTTGGCTTTGATTGCTGCATTTTCATCCCTTCCCTTCTTGCACGCATGCGGGTGGTAGAAACCGGAGGCCCGATTTCCGAAACTCGCGCTGCTGCCCTATTCGGGCTGCATCGGGTGCCCCGCATGCACGTGGCATTTACCCTGCTTCTTCTGCTGGTTAAGCAAGAGAGTAAACCCCTACATGGCGCCTGTGTGGAGGAAGCTAAATCGGCTCAAAGATATTGATTTATTGGTTAACTTTATAGTTAAGCTTTCTAAGAAACTACCAGACCACCACCGCTCCACCACCGCTCCACTTCGCAAACAAAATAAGGAGTGGGGATAAGGGGGTGAATCCCGAAGTTTGAACTTGTTTTTCGCTTATCGCTAGATTAAGAAGCCTTAACTAACCACAGAAGTTTGGTTGGCGGCTTGAGTCAAAACCTTATTGTCCATCTTCCCCCCACACACGGCTCGGAAATTCGAGAACTCCAATTAGTCCAGTCATTTGCTTCAAGCAATGTAGTCAATAATGCCGTGCTCATGCCGCTTCTATCGGCACTAGGGAAAGACGCTTTTACTAACGAATATATTCAGTCTATCCCGCATCGCTTCAAATCCTTCATTAAATTATTCACTGTAAAATAAAGAAAAATATATATATACATATAAATAAAATAGCGGTAATTGGCCGGAGACGCGAGAGCCTGAGAAAATAAAGACATACTCATGTCAGACAGCCATTTAACAAAGGACGATAATCCCCAGAATAAATTCCATATCCTTTGGTGAGGCTGGCATTCGGCCCAAATAAGAGACAGTAATATCGGAGGGGTCCGAAGCGGGTACTCTATCAGGCAGCCGTCGAAGTGTATTAAGAGGGATAATAGCGATAGGAAGGTGGCCGTTTGGCCTACCGAAAGTGTCAGGGTATAGGCCCGGGTAACAGGTATATTAGGAGTTGGGGGTAGCGTGGGTCCGGAAAGATTGGTGAATTTCGTAGTGGCCGGTTATCTGTTCGGCTGTGTTATCCTTTCCGTCGTGGATTTCGTTACCACGGAATTGTACCCTGTCCGAAAGCGGCGCGGAAGCGATATGAGGTTGTAACAGGAATGGCCTCTATAGCTATGAAATACACTGGATGCCAATCAGAGCAACTGAATCAAAGAGGGAAAACAGCTGAGACCTGGAAAGCGTGTTGATTCTGGTGGACGATCTACTGAAGGCCGAGGGTTCAAATACCCTCGAGAATAAGGTGTCTCGAAGGATACCTGTCCGAGGTGGCAGAAGGTCGCAAAAAGGACGCTAAACCAAAGAGACGGTATTGGATGACCGCAGATCTCGGCTAGTCACAGTTGTACCTGACGAGTTAATACAATACCTATCTCCGTTTTCATGACA